CCCCCGTTCATGCTCTGTCTCTCTCTGTCCCAAAAATAAAGAAAAACGTTGAAAAAAAAATTAAAAAAAAAAATTGCCTGTCTATGGACGTTGACTGGTTTGAGAGCACAGTGACAGGGGAGAGTCCATGTACAACAGCAGCAGTAAAATAAAATGTCCAGGATTAGGCCTGGTAAAAAAAAACTGTGGAAACCATGGCAGGTTGGGGAAGGAATTGAAAACTGCTGTGAAGGGAATGAGAGGATTTCAGTGAATAAATACACGTTTGATAGGAAAAGTCGGTGTAGTTAAGAAATCCCCATTTTCCCTAAATTGTCCTCTGACTGAGTCCCCAGTCAGAACATCAGTAGCTTCCTTTTCTTCTGGACTGGTGCTAAGAAAAAGGGTACTAAAATGAGGCAAGGGGGTCTCCCGCGGGACATCGCTTCCAAAATGAGCAGCAGCAGAAGGAACAATGTGCCAGAAAGCGCCATGACCATGGGCAGCTTCCTCACTATGCCAGCTGCACCTGTCGTGTGCCCGAGGACAAGGCCATCAAGAAGTTCACGACTGGAAGCACAGTAGAGGCGCCACCATCAGGGACATTTCCACAGCGAGTGATTTCGATGCTCGTGTGCTTCCCGTGCTGTATGTGAAGCTACTTTCCTACTTGAGTTGTGCCGGTCAAGGCCAGGCAGGCAGGCTCCGTTCGTGTGGAGCCTGGAAGGACCATGTCCTCAAGGGCCAGCGCCCCACGTCGACCTGCAGGTGCTGCCCCTCAGGCTCCACGAAAAGCCCACGTAAGGAGCAGAGTCCTTGAGACTGAAGAAAAAGTGTCCCGTGGAAACAAAGTAAAATGGAAATTACACTTAAAAACAAAAACGAGGTGGGGGGGGAGATGTACAAAAACAAGAACAAGAGGACTCGTGATTGAACTGCTCTCCCAGCTGTTCATCCCTTGGATCCTGGGACAGAAATAGACAATCAGATCAGTGAACGGGAAAGCTGGTGTGTGTGGATAGGTCAGAATGTGGTTTAGTGACAGGAAATGAGGGTTTATGCTGTAGATGACGGTGGGATAGCTTATTTCAGGCAGATGATAGATTCACACACGTGCTTTATATGGATATGCCTGTCGAGCAGGTACAGAGTTTGAATCGGCCATCGTCGTCCTCGCTTATTTGCTTGACGTTTTCAGTGGAAATTCCCGAAGGATTGTGGCTTTGTTGATGGAGGTCTGGAAAGAAGCTACAGTTAGATAAATTATCTATAAAGCAAAGGTCCGTTTTGTAAAGGGGTGGCTCATGTATCGAGAGAAATGACGTATCTGGGGTGCTGGGCCGGCTCAGGGGAGCCTGCAACTCTTGATCTCGGGGTTGTAAGTTCGAGCCCCCACACCGGGTGTGGCGCCTACTTACGTTTCTAAGAATGTGTATTTTGTTTCCACTGTTTGTAAAAACTCAATCGGATTGGTTCGTCTCCCCCCCTTTTAGTTCTTTTCAGAGTTCCTCCTCGCCTCTGAACAAAGTGAAAGCCTAGGCGGGGCAGAGGGGAGGAGGAAGAGAGCTTGAAGAGAGGAAATGGGAAAGCCCGCCATCTAACGGGGCTTCAGACCTGCGGTTGAAATCATTTTCTGACATTTGTTATTTTATTTTTAGGAAGAAGTGATGGTTCTGGAGAGAATCCTGCTCCAGACCATAAAGTTTGATTTACAGGTAGAACATCCATACCAGTTCCTCCTCAAGTATGCAAAACAACTCAAAGGTAAGGAGGCAAGGTTTTTTTTACAGGACTTTTCGCTGGAAAGCAAGTCTTTGTAACGATTTGATGGCCTTCGGATTACGCTTCTCAAAAGAGGAGAACAGAAGAAAGGGTTCAGCGTGTGAGTGTGCCCAGATGGTCCAGTTTTGCAGCTGTGACTACCACTTCCCGTCAGGTTTAGACAGATTCTACCACCAAGTCGGCAAGTGACAGGAGGCAGGAAAATGACTCAGATTTTTCTTTTCTTTTCTTTTCTTTTTTCTTTTTGAGAGCGAGAGAGAACACACACGCGTGAGCTAGGGAGAGGAGGTAGAGGGAGAGAGGTTCCACGCTCAGTGTGGAGCCCATCGTGGGGCTCGATCCCGTGACCCCAAAATCATGACCTGAGCCACAATCAGAGTCAGATCCTTGAATGACTGAGCCACCCAGGCACCCTGAGTCAGCATTTTTTAACAGCCTGGTAGAATCCACCTTGGAGCAGGCTTCCCATGGACGGTGGTTGAGCACAGGTCTTGTGGGAAGAGAACACAGGTGGGACTCGGACCCACCCGTTTGCCCTCGGTTCCCAGGCGGTGGCTCTTTGCGTGTGTTGGGATGGTGCAGAGCACGCAGTGTGGGCTTGAAATAAGTGATTTTTCTGCACTCTTTTATTATTATTGTCACTTCTAATTGGCTTTTTTCTTCCCATTTCTAGGTGATAAAAATAAAATTCAAAAGTTGGTTCAAATGGCCTGGACATTTGTAAATGACAGGTGCGTGTGTTCAAACGTTGATCTAATTATAGTTTTAAAAACAGGCAGGGACTTAATGGGTCATTGAATCCAGACTCCGTATTTTGTATCTCGGACTCTGACTCACCCAGCTCGAGAGCCAGCTAATGGCAGAGATGGGGCTGACGTCCAGGAAGTCTGCTTCCCGGCAGAGGGATGCCTGGCCGTGTCTCAGTGTAAGAAGTTAAAGGGCATCTCCAGTTTGAAACATAGTCCAAAACAATACGCTGGACAGTTTTGACAGCTAAATCCTTAGAACCCATTTGGTTCTGCACAAACATACTTCCTTGTAATGGTCCTAGAGCCTTGCTGTACTTAGAACCTGGGACCTAATGACGTGTACCGTGGGGACGGAAGGCCTGTGTGTGGAGCTGCGGTCACTTGAAAACACAGTACAGTGGCTCAAATTTCAGCAGTTTGAAGAACATGAGCTACGTTCATTTGTGTATCGTGACATAACCAATTTTTGAATGTGCTGTCGTTCCGATTCTAAACCAAGGAACAGATTAGTAACTGTGGTTAAAGTAAACCTATTTTGGTGCCTTTGGCAGACTTAAAACTTGCTTCTTTTATTTCTAATTCCTTATCTGGTCATTTAGGGAATGTTAAGCAAACTGACATTTAGATGTGGCATCTGATCTCCATGCATTGGGTAACATAGCTTTGCTCCAAGTCACGTCACCCCTTTTTCTCGTTGAACTAGTCTCTGCACGACCTTGTCACTGCAGTGGGAACCAGAGATCATAGCAGTGGCAGTGATGTATCTCGCAGGACGTTTGTGCAAATTTGAAATACAGGAATGGACCTCCAAACCCATGTACAGGCGATGGTGGGAGCAGTTTGTGCAGGATGTCCCTGTGGACGTTCTGGAAGGTACTGCTGGCATGCTGGGCTTCCCCAAGAGTGTTCCAACTTCAGGTCACTCTTCCCTGTAAACCTGGAGTCCCGAGAATGGACTTTCCCGCACACATAAACGTAAACCATTCTTCAGAAGCATCTTTAATCCAGCTCTCTAATAGTGTCCACTCTGAGCAAGCCGTGCGCGACAGAGTTTGGGTAAATTGCACGTACGATCCCTGTTCACTGGTCCCTGTAGGGGAATCATAGCTGAAAGGGAGCGGGGCTGGTCTTTTCCTAGGCACGTTTTACTTAAAGTATCAATTTGTGATAAATGTAATTGTTGCCTGTCGTTCAGACATCTGCCACCAGATCCTGGATCTTTACTCACAAGGAAAACAACAGATGCCTCATCACACGCCCCACCAGCTGCAGCAGCCCCCGTCTCTCCAGTCCACACCACAAGTGCCACAGGTGCCACCGCCCCAGCCGTCTCAAGGCTCCGACCCGCCCCAGCCGCAGCAGAAGGACTCGCAGCCGCCAGCGCCGCAGCCCCCGCCGCAGCCGGCCCCGCAGCCCAAGAAGCCGTCCCCGCAGCCTAGTCCTCCCCGCCCAGCAAAGCGGGCTGTGGTGAGTGGGCCACCTCTCCGGAGTGGGGGAGGCACAGTCCCTCGTCTGAGGGCTCATATGGGATGCCGAGCAGGGGGACACCTGGCCTCGCCGTCGGACAAGCGTCCGCGGAGAGCCTCAGAACTACCGTGGTCACAGGAGGAGGGCCCCGAGAGCTGGGAGGGCTCCGTCCTCCTCCTCCAGCCGCCGCTGCCCAAGTCTCCGGCCTCTCTGGCTTTTTTGTGTTTGGTGCTTTGAGTGACGCGGGGTGTTTGTGAGTTTCTCCCCACGGCAACAAGCTGGCCGGTGGAGGAAACCCATGTGGGATAAACGCGTGTTGGCCAACACCGCTCATTGAATGCAGGCCACCATGTCAGAGGGCCTGAAACTTAGTGTCATCAAGGACCCACTATTGAAAATCCACAGTGGTCCTCATGTCTGACCTGGGAGAGGGAAAGAGGAGGGGGCAGAGATGGTCTGTTAGGTTCCCAGTATGCCCTGAGCTAGGAGCTGTGTCTTGTCGCCCGGACTCCATTAGTTCCTGGATAATCCGTTTTTCTCACTATGCCCGGGGTCTTGGTTAACGATTACATATTTTCTTTTGTAACAGGTTGTTTCTCCCAAAGAAGAGAACAAAGCCGCAGGTAAGTTCCTGTTCTAAGGGTTGTTTTTTTTTTAACTTTGTATCAAAACTTTAAATTCTTGGTCAACACTATTTCCACAAGATCTAGCTTGGTCTTAGAATTTAACCTTATATCCCGTCAAAAACTTGACCCTGCCTGCCAGAAAAAGTGCCCTGAGTGTGTATTTTTAGATCATATTCTGACAACGGTTACCAAAAAACATGAGCAGCGGTGAAAGTGTACTCACTAGCACATATACAAATGTGATCACGAACATAGGACAAGGGTTACGGCAATGTTCCTTTCTAGAGGTTCAGTTAAGCCCACCACAGTAGACTGTAGGGAGAATTCCCACCCTAAACCCCAAGTAGCAGAGGGTGGTGGGCAGACAGGGTGGCAGTGATGGGCAGTGCTGTTGTCCAGAGAACCACCATATATCCTGACCCCTCTCGCTGATGTGGGCCGGACTCCTCCAAACACTGTTTGGGTTTTGTTTGGGT